CAAGTTTATAGGTTTTATCCATAGTTGGGCTAGTTAACTTCGCTATATTTGCTAGCTGCAGATTATACCTCTGCACACCTGCATCACCCTTGCATCTCACACAGAATCATAGAACTATAGACTGGATCAAGGCTGGAGGGGGTTTAGAAAGCATCTGTCCTAAGCCCTACCTAAGTCAGAAGTACCTCTATAATATCTTTGACAAATGGTAACCGAGTATCTGCTTGAACAGCTAGCTACAGTAATGGAGGCTCCCTTGAAGGCTGCATTTTGGACAGCTCTTAACGTTCTGAAGATTTTCCTCCCAGCAAGCCAGCGTTTATTACTCCTAGTTCTGCATTTTAGGGGCAAAGTAAAAGAAGTCTAATTCCTTTTTCATATGATTTCTAAACTAACTCTGCATAAAAGGGAAGTCTATAGGTGAGAATAACCCTGTACCCTCCACGTGTAGGAAAGTGTGGGAATTTCAGTGGGGCCCAGATATCCAGGAACTGGCTTTCAGCCCTTCCCCCAGCCCTCAGATTTCAGTCAGCTGCTGCCAGTCCTTAGGCATCTGACAAATAACCCTTTCCTCCAGATAGACCCTACCCCCTTAACCAAGAGCCCTTATAGAACTTGATCCTAGGGAATGGGGAAAGAGATTCCAGGGGCAGGATAGGAAGGAAAAAGAAGAAACAGGCAGGTGTCTAAAAACTAATTGGAGGGACAAAAAACATGAAATAACAAGAACAATGACAGGTATCATGTTAATGGGAGGCAGGGGGTGGTGGCGGCAGCAAAATGATATATTGACTATTATAAGCTTGACTCCTGAGGGTGCCAAGAGTAGGGGAGTAGTCAAGGTGGGGCATGTTTATCCCAAGAAGCCTTCTTAGAGGAGGTGAACCATGTCTGAAATTTATGAATAGAGAGGAAAGGGGTTCTTATGTATAATAAAATCACGGTATTTTGGAGCTGAAAGGGACCTTAGAGAGGATTCACTTGAACCCCTTTATTTTATAGAAGAAGAAGAAGAAGAAGAAGAAGAAGAAGAAGAAGAAGAAGAAGAAGAAGAAGAAGAAGAAGAAGAAGAAGAAGAAGAAACACATAAAAGCAAGTGACTTTCCCAAGGTCAAACAGTGAACTCTAACTCCAACAGAGTTAGAACCCAGGTCTCCTTTTTTCTTGTCAGTCCTGCATGCCATATGATGTTGCATACTGTCTTACATATGAGTTACAACAGACAAATTATCAGAGAGAGAAAGAAGGCTTTCAAACTCACTCTTCCCATAAAATAGAAGACCCCTCTCTCCACCGGATTGTCTTTAATGAATGCAGAGAAAACCACAGCACCTCCAGAGAGCTGATCATCTTCAATTTCTCTGTCTTAAGATGGTTAAGCTTTTTTTTGCTGGGCATGGCCTCCTTTGTGCCCCTCATAAATTGGTTCTATCTGTTATCAATATTTCCTAATTTCCCCTGAAGAGGTTCCGAGTCTTGTACAATAATGTGCAATTTCCATTTTTAATAACATTTCAGCTATTGGGAATGACTGTCTTGCCCTCGCTATTATGTACATTTCAGAGATAATCTCTCTCCATCCCCAGATTCTTCTTGTTTCTCTTTGTTATTCAGTGAACTACCTCTTTCCTGGAGGTTTCTACTCAATAGGAGAGAAAAGGAAGGAGAGGGCAGGATGGGACTCAGAGCTATACTCACATATCAGTCCAGTCAAACTACGCCTGGGGCTGGTTTTCATCAGGGGCTGCCCCCCCCCCCGCCCCCCCCTCCCCAAGTCTTGAACAATTTGAACCAACCCTTTCTACCTCCTGCGGGAACACAAACAGAAGAATCCCCAGCAGGGGTTCTTTCTTTTTCCAGGACACAAAGGATTAACCTCCTTTCCTAAAGAGAAGCCCACAATTAGATCCCGGTCTAACTAAAAGCAGTTAAATGTCCCAGTGGGTAGAGCATTGGGCATAGAGTCAGGAAGACCTGAGTTCAAATCTAGCCTATATGGGTGCATTGCCTTTCTTTCTCCCTGACCCATGGATGATCCAGGGGCAGAGCCCCTAGAAGCACCCATAAGCTCCCTCACTTTATCTACACACAGAAGTAGAACTCTGCCATCAATCCCCAATAAAGCTGGGAGACCTGAATCAGTCTGGGGAATCCCTCGCCGTGTCAATTTGTTGAACTATTGGCTATAGTTTGTTGAATTGTTAACTGTATATAGATAGGGTAGCCCTTCAGTGGTATTATTCTCGGATGGGGGCTGGGACTTCTGTCTGGGTGTGGCTCCGAATGTGAATGAATGAAAAAAGATTGACTAAGTGCTTTCTATGAGCCAAGTGCCAAATGCTGGGGACACAAATAGAAAAGCAAGAGGATTCCTGTTTTTAATAGCTCACATTCTGCTGGGGCAAACAAAGCACATAGGAAGTTTCAGCTTCACCTCAGATGGAAAGACCCTGTGGTCTTGCAGCACAAGGCTCATGGCAATGCATCATCTTTAGTGTCATTTCCATTACTAAACTATATCCATTTCTGAGGTTCAGCCATTTGGTTGTGCCAAGGCCTTGGCTGGTGTGAGCTTCCTTTCAGACTTTGTGGCTTCTGAGGAGTTGGGAGATGCAGCATCCGCAGAAGCAGTTGCCATGTTCATCTGAAAAAGAGTTGTTCCCCTAGTCAAGAGTTCTTGGCCTGGGGTACGTGATCTTGTTTTTTCTTTGTAAGATAAATTTTGATAACTATTTCAATTGAATTGGTTTCTTTTGTAATCCTATATATTTTATTTTATGCATTCAAAACGTTATTTTGAGAAGGAGTCCAGAGGCTTCTGGACTGTCACTCTCAAATGTTCAAGAAACCTCTGGCTTAGCTGATTTCTGTGGGATTGGATTGGGAGCAGGACCAGTGGTGTAGGGGAGCTGCCGTTCTTGTGCTTCTTGGGCTTGCTTGCCCGTTGGTAGCAGTTGATGAACAGTTGGCATTGGTGGCAGGGATGGTGGGTCCCTTCTCCCCAGGAGTTGCTCCCCTGGATGATAGCTTTCATTGTCTGGAAGCAAGGTTGGTGACCTGGGTGGGGACCACTGAGGTACAGGAAGGTGTTTACAAGCTGTCCATGTTCCTGAGTCAGATTATCTGCTAAATAATTACTAGTAGCAGAACAGTTAGGAAGGCTCTGGGCTCTTCAGAACTCTACCCAAAAGCAGTGTCAGAAATAGAGGATGTCCCAAAGGTCTTAGTCCAGTTTTAAACTTTAAGAGCTTAAATTATTAGAGGGGAGACGTGATAGCTTGAAACTGCGTTAAGACTTTTGGGACACCCTACACTGAGTCTCTCATCTAGCTCTGATGGGAACACTAAAGAAACTTGCTTCTTTGCATATGGGCACAGCTATTCAAATATAGTTTGAGAGAGACAAAATCATTTCCTGAAGGTAGGGGTTTGTTGTTAATAATAATAGCTAGTATTTATATAGTGCTTTACAAATATTAACCCATTTTATCTTTACTACAACCTTGAGAGGTAGGTGCTTTTACCCCCATTTTATAGATGAGGAAACTGAGGCAAGCAAGAGGTTAAGTGACTTGTTCAGGGTCATTAGCTAGTGTTAGGCTAGATTTGAATTTTGATCTTCCTGATTCCAGGTCCATCACCCTATTCACAGCACTACCTAGCTGCCTCAATGTTGTTATTCTTTTGTTTGGAATCCCCAGCACCTAACAGAAGGCCTTGCACTTGATAGAAGGGACTTAATAACCACTTGTTGGATTGGGTTGAGAAGAAGGCTATGAGGACTGAAATCATCATCTTCACTCTGATTCGGCTAAGCTATGCTGAACAAGCCAGTGCCCTCATTAGAAGAGACTTATGAGACATTCAGGTTCTAAGAAATTTACTTTCTTGTTTAGAAAAGGCAAAAGAGTAAGTTCTCACTAGAGCAGAGTTTGTTTAAATGGCCTGAATTTTTTCCTTGAAGTCGGACATTCAGAGACAGGACAATTTGTAAGCAGACTGATTTTTGCATATGGGCTGTGCCATTAGAATAGCTTGCTGATTCAGCAATGTCTGTGTGTTGGGGGGGGGGTGTGAGTAGGGAAGGCATGATGGTGAATTGGTTGTTTCCAACCCTGATTCGGGCTTGTCTCTAACACTAGAATCATGGACTGGAACCATTGACAATTTGCAGCTACTTCAATAATTGCTTGGATCAATAGTTCATCACTGCAGCTCCATGCTCAACTTAGAAATTTCAAAGAAACAGGATATTTCTATCAATGTAGCTGAATATTGTATTACCTTATTGAACTTTCAGTCCAGCTTCCTGGCCATAAGGTCATAGGATTTAGAGAGGTTTACAGAGTCAGAAATTGAGTCTTAGAGAGAAAAAAGGACTTGCCCAGGGCCACACAGAGAGTGAGTAGCAAACCAAGGATTTGTACTTAGATCTGCTGACTTTAGATTCAGTATTCTTTCCCTATACCAGGGGTGGCCCTCTGAGTCCTCAAGTTTAGCCGTTTGACTGAATCAGGCCACACTTGAAGACTTAGACATCCACGTGTGGCCTCGAGGCCCCAGGTTCCCCATGCCTGCCCTATACCACGAACTCTTTTTCACAGGAGCAATTATATAGCGATGTCTCTACAATCCCGCACTTTGGCATTTTAATGTTTGAACCACAGTGTAAGATTTTACATTTTCTTCTCCTTAAGTTTGGTAGCTTGACCCATTGTCCCAACTTGTCAAGATCTTGGTGGAGATCTATTTTGTTATTTGGCATATTAGCTATTCCTCCAAGTTTCATCTCTTCCACATAACTGATATACCATCTATCCCTTTATCCAAGTTATCGATGAAAGTGTTGAACAGGTCAAGATCAATATGCAAGCCCTATTGGAGTCCACTCTCCAATAACTTCTGATTCTCTGTTTCCTTTGGGAGACCAAATTGGAGGCTTCATGTTAGTAAGACATACTGCATATATTGGGAAACAGCAAGAACTTTATATAACTCACCATAGTTGTTTCAGCAATGGAGCCAAAACTGTTGATGAAAATGTTGCAGCTCACATTGACTGGGGGACCTGAAAGGCAAGAAAGATAGAAGTTAATGTTACACCCCAGGGTTGCCAGCCCAAACAATGACTCCACAACCTCCTGAAGCTGCAGGGCAGGGCTCCTTAGCCTAGCAAACAAGGCCTCAAGGACCATGTATCCAGATCCCTAGTCTTATCTTACACTAACAATCTTTAACATTCTATGATCTCTGTTCTAAGGTATCTTCCAGTTTTAAAATTCTCTCTTGTATATTCTACTTTTCATTTTTGACAGTCTATGTTCGATAAGTCATATTCTAGATCAAATTTTTTGTCTTATGGTTTGAGGTCTCTTCCAGAGAGAGTCCCCCTTACGTTATGTGAACTATGACTCTGTGATATTTTTTCTAGCTTATAAGCTCCGTGAAGCCAGGATTTACGTTTTTGTCTTTTATCTCTCACTTCTAAGCCTAGTACTTCGCAATAGAGTAGATACTCATATCATTAAATTGTATTGTTGACCTGTCCTTCAGATTGGGACCTTCTCCTTAGGTGGTCTTGGGATTCCTCTCCTTCTTAACTACCTGCACTTCTTCCCTGCTGCTTTCCTGATGGGCATCATTTTTTTTTCTTTTTCTTCCTGGAGAAAGTACCAGGTAGAGAGTACAGGAGCTAAATTGGGATGTGCATCCATTAACACAAGATGATTCATTACCCCACCATATGGTACCTTCCCCAAACTCCATCAGCGGCTGCCTCCTAATTTGTGGCTGAAATGCAGTCACACTGCAGAATTTGGAGGCCATTTTGGGAATCATGGTGTTCTTCTGCTGAACTTATGAACTGCAGTGGATTGCTTGTGATGAGGTTGATGGGAATTGCCTGAAGAGGAAATGGGGGTGAATCTTAAGGATTGTCAACAAGCCTTCTGTATTCCCTAGAGGTACAGGGGAACAGAGGCTGGGCTAGGAATACGAGAAAAGCCCCTGTTTTAGCTCAAGTATTAGTTAGGGAGATAAAACACACATACTTAAATCAGCAAGCCTTTATTAATTTCTTACTATGTATCAGGTAACATGAAAAGTGCTGAGAATTCAGAGAAAAAGCAAAAAGACTATCTGCCTTAGAGGATCTTACATTCTGAGGAAAACAACAGGTATGGATAGAGGTATGTATAAGATACAGAGTAGATACAAGGTGACTTTCTAGAAGGGAAGGTATTTAGCAACTGGGGTGAAGAGGAGCGGGAAACTCCTCCTGCACAAAGTGCCACTTGAACTGAGTCCTTGAGGAAGTCAGGTGTTCTAAGAAGTAGATGTGAGTAGAGCTTTCAAAGCATGGTGGGAAGCCAGTGCAAAGTAATGAAGATGGGAGATGGAGGAAGCATCTTGTGTGAGGAATAGCAACAACGTTACTACCATGGGACTGTAGGTTGTAGAGAGGGGAGTAATGTGTAAGAAGCCTAAAAAGAGAGGAAGGGGCCAGACTGTGAAAAACTTTAAATGACAGATTTATGTATGGGAAAGAAAGCCAGTAAATCAACCCCATGGGGAGGTACAGTTCATTGAAATAAATCTGAAATTAAATTATACCAAAGAAAATTATAAACTGTCAGCCTTTGGCCAAGGGATAATGTATAGATTTCATTAAAAATTAAAGTTTAATTTTGCTTCTGTATATGCATTTGTGCTAGGGTGGGGTGCCTGGGTCTGAAAGGCTTTCTAAAGGGCTGCCAGGATCTGTAGGAGCTACACACTTCCTCTCACCTGGCCTGCCTCAATGAATTGAAGCTGATCAGTGATTAATCGTTCCGTGGAATTTTCAACCTCCCATCCTGTGCTAATCAGAGAATGGCACCAAGAGTTCAGGGTCAAGAGCTGGGTGATGGAGAGAGTAGAGAGAGTAGAGAGAGCAGTGGGCCAACATCAAGGGTTGAGAAGACACAGCCAGCATCTACAGAAGATCATAGCATTTTAGAGCAAAAGGAATCTTAAAGTATAGCATGTTAGAGCAAAAAGGGACCATAAAGAGTGCATAAAGAGTGCCAGAGCTAGAAGGGACCGTAGAATGTAGAATGTCAGAACTGGGAGGACACTTCTAACTCAGAATGTAAGAACTAGAAGGAACCCAAGAACATGGACTAGCAAGATTTAGATATCTGTTCCCTGTAACCCTCATTTTACACTTGAGGAAACAGTCAGAGAAGTGACTTGACTTGCCCAAGGTCTCACAACACTAGTGTTGAGGCCAGAACTTGAACCCAGGTCTCCTAACTTGTTCCACTAAAATGAGCTGCCTCCCTTAGATCTGACTATCACTTGAAGTGTACTATGTAGACAGGACATTTCTGGAAAGTCTTGGAGAATGATGAGAGAGAGAGAGAGAGAGAGAGAGAGAGAGAGAGAGAGAGAGAGAGAGAGAGAGAGAGAGAGAGAGAGAGAGAGAGAGAGAGAGAGAGGCGAGCAAATATTAGGAAAGCTGTTACCAATCAACAAACCTTGGGGCCAGGTCTTGGGCTAGAGCCAAGAGAAAAACCAAGGAAGGTGCCTGGAATCCCAAATCAATTAGGCAGGTTTAGAGAAGCAGTCCTTTTCAGAGAAGCATTTCTTAAGCTGAATATAGGGAATGCTATAACTAGCTTGGTTGGGGGTTCGGCTGTTGGGGGAGGAGAACACATCATTACAAAGACATGGGAGAGGTCAAGGCTGCTGGGCTCTGCACAGCTGTTTGTCAATGGCTGCAGCAAAATCTATATCCTGGCCTTCTTTGCCTCTCCTAGATTTGCTACAGACCCCAGAGGGAGACAACCCGTTATGGGCCTTATAAAACATTTTGGTGGTGATGTAGGGCCTGGTGGTGAGACAGAAGTAGAATATGGTTCAGTAATCTCCATGCTCTGATGTTTATGGACATGTAAAAACTGGAAGGGACTTTAGGGATGACCAAATACAGCGTCCCTGTCCTTCATTTTTAGGCTCAGGGAAGGGGAGTACCCAAAGCCATCTATTGCTGTTGTTCATCCCTTGTTATTGAAGAGGACCAATAACATGGCAGGTGACGGCTTGACTTGCTAGTGAATTGGATTTAAATGAAGCAGAGTTACACAAAGTCATAAGCTTCACTCTCTGTTTCTGAGTCATTGAAGTCCAGTAGCAGGACAAAAGTCAAGATGACTGGTGATGGCCTGGCATGCGATGAATGACCTTGACATCTTTGATGTCTGACCAAGTTGTAAGTACTATACAGTGCCTGCTTCAGCTGCCTTCATGGTTGTTGGAACAATTGCTCTCATCTGCCCATTCTGCTGGGAGAAGTCATCATATATTTGGGGTAGACATCCCCCTAACTCACCGACAAGTTTGAGTTCAGTCACCCTCAACCTGGTTTAACCTGTCTACCTAGGTGGTTTTACTGGAGGATGGCCATTGCCTGTAAAACTCTTCTTGGAGCCACAGGTGAGAGTTGGGTGGCAGGCAGACACCAAAGGTGGATGGGCAGCCCTGAAAAGGGTTTGGCAAGTCCTCACACCAGAGGTGCTAGTCCTTCTGAATACCCCATACACCCCCAAAGCCATCAAATGAGTTAGTGGTGAAGTTGGGGACAAAATCTCAAATTTCTTGATTCTTAGTTAAGGGCTCTTTCCATGACACAACACAGCATTAAGTGAAGCATGGTCCCCATCCCAACCTGCCTTCCAACTACTTCATCTCCTAGAATCAGACTCTTTAAGCCAGAAGGAAGCCCAGAAGACATTAGTTCAATCTATCACTCCATGCTATAATTTCCTCTACCTCTTTCCTCACTGGTAGCTATCCAACCTGTGGTTAAACATGTCCACCAAGGTGGGATCCCAATACCTCCAGAGATAGTTGATAGAACAGAAGATTTAACTGTTAGGAAGAATTCTTTATATTAAAGTCTGTGAGGTGTAGAGGGGGAGAATATCTGTCCCCTTGACTCCTGAACCCCCTCCCCCATCATTTCCCTGGTCTCCTTGACAGAATGAACCTGTGGTATTCAGTATGTACCAAAGATTTAGCCTAGCTTCTGGACACCATCATGGGCTTGAGTAGGTGCCAAGAATGAGGGTTTCCATTTTATTGGCTTTAAGAAAGAGAGACCTGCTGCATCATCCCATCTGCTACTTCAAGCTATTTAAATTAGGCTCTACCCTATGGTTCCCTTCTCACTGGAGCAAACAGACTTGGAATCAGAAGCCCTGACTTTGAGTCCTGCCTCCAGCAATGTATAAAACCCAAAGGAATAAATGTCTAATGGTACAATTTCAGACACTACCAGGGATAGTTTGGGGCAAAGGGGCATTTCAGAAGCCCTTGAATCACTCCCTTGATAGGCATATGACCTGTCCTGGCATCACGGAAGGAGTTTCTAGGGAAAGGCATCATACGAATTCAAGGTTAAAAGAAACTGATTCTTTTGAGCTCCCTTTCTCCTTTTAGCCTGTCTCTTAGAGACATTCCATAGATTCATAGACTGTCAGAACTAGAAACGACTTTAGAATGTAGAATGTCAAATTCAAAAAGCCCCTTAGAGGTCATTTAATACACCCCCCCCCCTTTTTTTTTTTACAGAAGTCTGGAGAAAGGAAATGGCTTGTTCAAGGTCACACATAAAGTAAGAAGCAGAATCAGGATTCAAACTCAGGTCTCCTGACTCTAGATATAGTACTTTCCCCTCTATACTATGCCAAAGACCAGAGACAGAAGGAAGTTAAAAAAGGCAGGTCTGAATAGTACCTTACAACCTAGCACATAGATTGTCAGGGCTGGAAAGGACTTTAGAACATTGAATATTTGACAGATTATTAAATATGGAGTCTGGACACCTAAGAGGCCTTCTTATCTATATTTCCCCTTTGCTCCAATCCATCCTTAATACTAATATCAGACTAATATTGCTTTTATCTTCATTTATTTGTGTCATTCCTCAGCTCAAATATCTTCAACTGCCTATTTCCTTCTTCAATGGACATGTAATATCATTGACTCAGTGAGTATTTCTACCAGCTGAACAAATTACAGTCCATCCATGCCTTCCATTCTGTGTAGTTCTTACCCATATTCTCTTATCAGTCCTCCACAGAAGGTCTACCCAATGTACCGAAGCCTTTTCTTTAGGATCTTTCTATATTTTATGGGTGCCTGTTTTTCTCAACATGTGACCAGTCCACCTCTTTTTCTAATCCTACATTTTCTTCCTGATGATATCTCTTTAAAGCATTTCTTGCACAGGGGAAATATATTGCCCATATTTGTGCCCACCGTGAATCTTTCTATTGTCATTTGGGTCATTCACAATTGATTTACTAATTCAATGGATTTGCCATTCAACTGTATATTCGTCTCATTTTCATCCATTTGGTTTCTCCCACATGGATTGTTAGGTCTATCTCCTGATTAATTTTGGGTCTTATTGGTGAGGCCTGTAATATCTGATGCTTAATATAATCAATACAATATTATCTAATAAAAGAGAAACCAGAAAACCTCAGTGTTTCTAGGAAGTCTTTTTCCATTAGAACCTTAGGAACCTAAATTTAGAGCTAGAGGACAGTTCTTAGAGGTCATTCTCCAGTTTTATAGATGAGGAAAGATTAAGTGATTTCCCTGAGGTGGTACAGATATACAGATGATAAGTAGCAAAGTCAGGATGGTCCTTTAACTCCAAATCCAGTTTTTTTCTTTCTCTCCTTTGCGTGTGTGTGTGTGTGTGTGTGTGTGTGTGTGTGTGTTGTGTGTGTGTGGCACAGGTATTATAGTGCTCTAACTCTGAAGTCTAAAAATATAGGACCTGAGGCTTACTACCTGTGTGACCATAGGCGGGTCACATAACCTCTTTGGGCCTCAGTTTTTTAATCTGTAAAATGAGTGGTTTGGACTGGAGAGGGTCCAGCCTCTAGTTGACCCCAGAATGGCCCTAGAGGTCTTTTCTAGCTCCAAGTCTATGAAGCTATGATACAATGATGATCTTTTGTTTATATTACTGTTGCTTCCCAGTTACCCTCCCCACCAATAGAGCCTCCCCTATAACATAGAAGTATAGTATATAGTTAATCATATATAAGTATAATAAAACAAATCAATGCATTGTCCAAAGCATGCTCCATTCTGCACCAACAGTCCACCACCTTTCTGGTGAGAGTTAGGAGGCATGTTTCACATCAGTCCTCTGAAATCACTATTAGTCTCCAGTGCTCTCCATTTGCACCATGCTGCTTCAATGAGAGTGGTGAACATTTTTAGTGAGCATACATCTCTATGGTTTATGCCTAGAATGATGTATATACTCAGAGGGTCATTGAACAAGATTTGTAGTGATAGGGATCTTCCATTATCAAGGAATTCTCATTGTCAATCAAACAAAATTCAAACTATTTTGTCTGACATTCAAGGCTCTCTATAAGCCAGTTCCATCTTTGAATTCTGTCTTAATCTTCTGTTGCTTTTCTTCATGCCATCTATGCTCCAGCCAAACCATATTATTTTTGGTTCCCCAAAACACATTCTGGTTGTCCCTGCCCCTTTGCCTTTGTTCATGTTTTTCCCTTTGGCAGGTATTTCCCTTTTCCTCTTTACCTGCTGAGTTTTCACTCATTCTTTAAATGCCACCTCCTCCGTGGAGTCCTCCCTAATCCCTCAGTTGGTAAAGATCTTTTCCCTATTCAGATTTTATATAGCACATTGTGTTGTGCATCTCTAATGCACTTAATTATACAATGTTTTTATTACACTTTTTTTGAGTTTGTGTTTTTTCTCCAATATCAACATGAGGAAAGAGATGATGTCTCGTTTAAAATTTGATCTCCTTTGGCACCTAACACAGTGCCCTCTTCACATAGTAGGCATTTAAGTATTTATTTAAAGTTTGAATGAATGAACATAGACTGTTAAGGCTGTAAGTGATATTAACAAATAGAACATGGAATGTTAGCGTTGGAGGGGACGTTAAAAAATAGAATACAGGACATAGAGTTTTAGAACTTGAAGGAACTTTAGAAAATAGACTATCCCAGCTGGAATGGTACTTAGAGAGCATTGGGTTCATCCTCATTTTACAGAAGAGGACACTGAGGCCCAGAGAGGTGAAATGTGCTACAGAAAGCTAGGGTTAAATCTAGGTCTCTTGATTCTAAGTACTGGGCTCTGTCCATTACAACAAAATACTTCAATAAAACAAAAGGGAAAAGGGTAAGGGGGTCAGGAGAAGAAAAAGGGAGGGGATTATGTACCTTTAAAATTAGGTCTGATCCTGGCATCATATCCTGAGGTTCTCCCCATCAGTTTATCCAGAAAATCCGAGGGAGACATAGGCTTGGGTGCGGAACGGGCTGCAGCCTCAGCTTCCTTGGAAGCAGCCAGACTGGGGGAGGAGAAAAGAAAAGAAAGATTAGTTACCAATGTGCCCCCACTATGTTAGGGGTGATTCCCTAGAGGCCTATTCCACAGCTGAGAGATGTGACACATACTTCTCCGGCTTCTTAATAAGGAAAGCCCCAGCTAAATTGTTTACCCAGCCCAAACATCACCCCGCGGAAGGTCCCGGCAGCTGGCCAAGTGCTTGAGAGATGATGATCGGAAAGAAGCTGCCGACTAATTTAGGGACAGATCCCTGGGGTCTGGAGGAATCACAGCTGTGATCTTGGCTCCTAAATCCCCATGGAGGCTGTGCTTGGAAAACTAACCTTCTGCCCACCAGATTTCTAGTTACCTGGCTCTCTCCATGTGCTCTCCTCCCTTTTGTATTCCAGACATCAAGGTTTACTGTTTAACTACCTTGGTCTAGCTAAAGTCTCACTTCTATGTACTCTCATGAGTACTCCTCCTTCCCTACTATCAAAGTACATACACAGCAACATACACACACACACACACACACACACACCCCAACAATATATACATACATACATAGACACAGATCTTCATGAAAATATACCCACTGACCCTCATATAGATAGATACACTCAGAGACATATAGTTTATATATCTACTACACATACATATATATGACTATATATACTATAAATACACATATATACATAACAACCTACACCATGAAAATAAGCATAAACTCAGGCACACAGACATACATGGACACATGGATACACACATATGCTTGCACCCATGCACACGCATAGATACACAGGAATAAACATAGGTATACAAACATACACAAATACATGCATATACAGACACATACATATCTACATATACCAACAGATACACAATTATATACTCCCAACACAGTCCTTAGACATACATTCATATCCATATATATCTCTCCACACTTGCACAAATATACACATACATATATCTAGGCAGACATTTTTATACCCTCATAAAATACCTATAGTCACAGCAAAACATATAGCTAAATACCACAAAAGTAATCCTGATTAAAACATACTCCTAATATGTTACTTATACACATGTTTGTGTATTGTATTAATGTATATACATGAGAAGTAAACAGTAAGGTAAGAAGATGATGTCTGAGGATGGAATTTGGTTCCTGGACCATGGTTGGACCACAGGAATGTCAAGCTTCTGGCTAGGGATGGAGCATGCCTAGTAAAGGTGAGTAAGAATATATTTGCCTGTAACCCTGAAAATCCAAGAAAAAGGGCTTTAAATTCAAAAAGGAGGAAGAAGAAGAATGATTTTGTATATCCACTGAGCTAGATATAAAAGAGGGTGGCTACAATGTAGGAAAAAGAATAGCATTAGAGATGCCCAGAAATTCACAGGAAACAAAAGCCAAGGAAGGAACCTGAAATAAAACTTTTGTCCTTGTATGTCTATGCGCAAATATACAAAGTATGGATAACAAGCAAGGAAAATGAGAGTTTCAAATACAAATAGGCAAATTTAACTTGATTGGGTGAGATCTATAACTGGAATGTGACTCTGGAAAGATCTGCTTTATTCAAAAGGAACAGGGTATGGGCATATACCAAGAAGGCCAAAGACAAAAAGAAATGGCCCACATATATCCAAATATTCATGTTTGTGGTATCAAAAAACCGTGAGCAACACGGATGCCTGTCGAATGGAAAATGGCTGAACAAATCATGGTATAAGAATGTAATAGAATATTGTTGCTCTCTAAGAAATGACACATGCGAGTAATTTAGAAAAAATATGTGAAGACTTGTATGAACTAATGTAGAGTGAAGTAATAGGAAAACGGAAAATAGGTCTATACAATACAGTAGGATAAATGAAAAGAATGACACAACAAAGCCGAATGTTGGGTAACTAGAGTTATCAATTTTGTCCCCAGAGAAGAGATGAGGAAATACACTTCTCTCCTTTTGTCAGAGAGGTGGGGGTCTGTGGAATGTGGCATATGCTGTCAGATGAAGTTACTTTGGCTATTGATTTTTGAACAGGTGTTTTCATTTGCCACAAGAAATGCTTGGGAGAAGGGATTGATATATATATGAAAATAGCTCTGATATAAAAATCAAAGACATCAATAAAACTTAAAAAAAAAAAGAAAACCCAAACTCTCAAGGAACAAGATAGGATAAATGTGTGTGTGTGTGTGTGTGTGTGTGTGTGTGTGTGAATGTGTATAGAAGCATTATAAATTAAGAACATGTTTTCATTTGGGGAGCTCTGGGAACTGGGGGATATGGGTTTGCAGGTGTGTGTAGTATGGAACATGGCGGTGAGAATTCAGAAGGTTAAAGGAAGAAGAAATAAAACTGAAACAATATTACAGACCAGCTATACAGAAAGAAGAAGTAGTGGGTACTCCATGAGACAGATCATAAGCTTGGCACAGAGACACGACATACTGATAAGGGACTTCTATTATTGGGATATCTTGCTGGGGCTTACTTTCTCTTTTCCAAAAACAGAGCTGCTAATAACTTCTTGGCTTGTTTCACTCATGGTATGAAGTTAACAGAACAATAATAATTTATACCATGACTCCCACAATAATGTGAGGGGAACTGATTCTGAAAGACCTCAGTACTCTGATCAGAGCAACAACCAATCACCGTGTCAAATGAATGAAGATGAAGCACACCTTCTGTCCCTTGGCAGAGAGGCGAAGAACTAGAGGCATGGAACAATAGATACATTCTCAGATAGGGCCAATGTGTTGGTCTGTTTTGCCTGACTACATATTGTTGTTATAAGAAAGCACTTCTACTGAATGAGGGGGGAGGGGAAAGTGGCTTGGTGAACAGTAACAGGGAAAAAAAGAAAAAAAAAGTTATGTTATTTTATTCATTAAAATTAATTAAACTCTAAATGGTCACTAAACAAGTTCACTTTGTTGTATTGGTATTCAATATTAAGCTTTCAATAAAACATTTAAGTAAAACATGGCTTGACTTTTTTTTTTTAAAGAGAAAGTTATTTTAAAAGATATCCTTCAAAAAATAGAAACACTGATGAAGGGAACTTATTTGCTGGATGTGGTCTTCACCAATAAGAAAGAAACTGGTTTTTATAGTAGGAATTATGCGAATATGGGGGGAGGTGACCACTCTATCTTGGAATTTATGATAGTGAAGGAGAGGGAAATTGGGTACAGCCTGATATGAAGCCTAGATTTTGTGAAAGCTGATTTCAAAGAGTTTATAGTAAGGAGAGATAAAATCCAATAGATTAAAATTCTACGAGAGAAGTCATTCCAGGAGGATTTTGAAGCCCTCAAGAATAAAAATTTTGAAGAAACAAAGTAAAAATTCTGATGAGGAAAAAAAGGAAAAGTTGTTTAAAGAGTTTGATATGGATGAATAAAGAGCTCATTGACAGGGGCAGCTAGGTGTTGTAGTGGATAGAGCTCCGGCCTTGGGGGCAGGAGGACCTGAGTTCAAATCTGGTCTTAGACACTTGACACTTATTAGCTGTGTGACCCTGGGCAAGTCATTTAACCTCGATTGCCTCACCAACAAGGAAAAAAAAAGTTGACCAATTTAGAATTTAAGGACATGTATAGAAGATAAAAGTAAGCAGAGGTAACAGAGAATGAATACAAATAGTATGGCACAATGCTAAACGAATATTTTCAGGACACTAAAGCTAATCATAAACTAAAATTGGTGAGAAAAGGTAAGGACAACAAGGAAGGTTTTCTCCTTAAAAACTGACATTGGGGAAAAGAAGAGGGTCAAAAAGAGGTGGGATTGCTGCCCTGGTAGAATGGGATGATGATAATGGATGATGGAAAGGAGACAAATCTACTCATCTCCTATTTTTTTTTTCCACCTGTGGGGGATTGATTCCCCAAATTAGTAATGAACTCAAGTCACTAGGCCCAGATGGACTACATTCCAGGGAACTGAAAGAACAGGCAGTTGTGATTATTGAGTCATGATCAGTGATCTTTGAAAGACTGTGGCAAGTGGCCTAGATAATGAAGTACTTAAAAAAGGGGCAAAATTCTGATTTTCAAAAAAAGAGAAGAGAATGGAGTCTGCAAATTATAGGCCAGACAACTTGGCTTTAATTCCTGGCAAAATTCTAGAATGTCTTATTAAAGGGTTAGTCAGTGAACATCTAGAAAAGGAAGCAGTGATCATCATAAAGATCCAGAATGGCTTATCCAGAACAGGTCATGCCAGATTAATTTAATTTCTTTTTATTGTCCAAAAAAGGTCTGATAGATCAGGAGAATGCTACAAATACAGTTAACCTAAATTTGATAAAAACATTTGATAAATTGTCTCATGCTTTTCTTATGGAAAAAGTAAAGAGATGTGGGCTAGAAAATAGTACCATTTTGCAATTTTGGAACTGGCTGAATGGCTGAAAAGTTAATGATTTGATGTCAACTTGGAAGACACTATATGGTAGAGGAGATGGGGGATCTGTGCTCGGTCCTGTGCTATTTAACACATGACCATAGATTTAGAGATGGAAGGATTTCAGAGGCCATGTAATCTAACTGTCTTATTTTGCAAATGAGAGAAGACAGGAAAGTTGAAGTGACTAATCCAAGATCAAACAGGCAGTAAGTAACAGAGTTGGTATTTGAATCTATGTCTTCTGATTTGAAATCCAGCATTCTTTTTTTTTTTTTTAACAATGACTTGGATAAAGGCATAGATGGCAAAAATTTCAAGGGGCACAAAGCTAAGAGAGATAGCTATCATATTAGATGACATCAGGATTCAAAAAAAGACCTCAGTAGTTTGGAAGATCAAGCCAAGTCTAATAAAAAAAACCAACAACAACAAATGGATTTTAGGCTTGGATTTTAAAAAATCAATTTTATATCTTTAAGATGAGAGAGGGGTAGCTTGACAGTGGGGTCATTTGGAAAAGATATGGGGGTTTTAGTGACTACAAGCTCAATATGAATGCATAGTGTGACATGGCAGCAAAAAAGCTAATGTATCT